TTCTCAGCGGCGAGCGGCCAAATCGGGGGGAGGGGGGTCTTAATGCTCTTGTAGAAAGGAGCGTGTCTGAGGTGCGAGGTAAGTTGTCTCATATATTTTGTGGCATCTACGTTGTGCATGCTATGTGGTGCAATATCATAGCTGTGGTGCAACCTATGTTGTGCACAATGTATGTTGTGCAATCTGTGTGGCGTGATGTCTGCTGTGCAACGTGCGATGCGCAATTTATGTGGTGCGATTTTTCCTCGTTGCAAATAAATTATCACATTCCGTTTTCTCGCAGACGTCCCGCCCGCCCACCCGCGACATGGTCTGCGAGGCCCATGCGGCGGCGATTGCGATGGGTGCTTGTCGTTGGCTGGTGCATCTCTGCGGCCGCGCTAGCGCGCGCGTGCTCGCGCGCGCCGCGGCCAGCTAGTTGGTCAAATCAAATCGGTGCAAATCGGTGATCTGGGCGGGCGCGGTATCATGGCGTCGCCGGCAACGCAGACACGAGTATGAGTAGCGATGGTGGTTGCGATGGTGGCGACGGCGGTGGCGAGCGAGGCCAACCGCGGTGCCGATGTTGATCGCGCCCGCCGATGACGATGACGATGTCCTCAAGTCGGCGATGAAGGTTTTTGATGGAGTTCGACATGCGCGCGCGGCTGACGCGCGCCAGTTGCCCACGTGGTATGATTTGACACGCGTCGTGTCCTCTCCGCAGCGCGCGCGCAAGGGCGTTCGAATGAATTCGACGTGCAGCGCGGGAGGCCCGTTTGGCAAGTACTGGGTGGACAGGTTGAATACATAATTTCTTCAAGAACCCGCAAATCCGCAACGTTGACGCTTATGCGGCGAAACTTTTTTGTTCTGGGGGGGTGGGCGCTCTCTTGCGATGTCCTTGCGAAACCCAGTTTTTTCATTGACTTCGGCATGCGCTCGACGACGACGCGCGCGCGCGTGCACTGCGTCCCGTTTTGTGCGAAGGATTCTTTCGACGGCACGTGCGCCATGTTCGACGAGGAATTTCGACATGCGCGCCCGAGAAACCCGCATTGGTAACTTCTTATGGAACTGATGAAAGCCGATTGTTTTCAGAGGATTTTGCAGGAGCGCGGGTTCAAATTTGTTTAAGGGTTTAATTGTTACATATTTTCGTATTTTCGTATATAGATACACATTTTCCCCGTCGTGATTTTTGATTTTGAAGTCCTGCGAAATCTTTTTTTGTGAGTGATTTTGGCATGCGCACGACGACGCGCGCGCGTCCACTTTGTCAGGCTTTTTGCAGGAGGTTCTTGAGTATTGCTGTTTTTTGATCAACGGGTCTGCGCGCATATATTTTTTCTGCAGAGGATGATGGCGGGGGGTGATACCAGCCTGCGTTGGATTGTGCGAATTCATATTTAGGATGGGCGCTGGGGCAGAATCGTGTGTACATTGTATTACGAAAGGATGGCCCGTAAAGTCGGGGGAGGGAGGTCTATCCTCATGCGGCTTTAGAGAAGGAGTATCTGGATTGTGCAATCTATGTCATGGAAATGATTTTGGCAAACGAGATGACACATCCCGCGCTCTTGCAAACATCCCACCCACCCACCCGCAACTTGGTTTGCATAATCTCTTAAGACCGTGGCGGTGGGGTACCAAATGGCACTTGGCAGCGACAGCGGCGCCGGCGACGACAGCGACAACGACGACGACGCCGCCGACATCTACTACGACGACACCGACGACGTTTCCAACGACTTCGACGACGCCGACAACGACGACGACGACGACGACACCGACGACGACGACGCCGACGCCGACGACGACGACGATGACAACGACGACGACGATGACGACGCCGACGACGACGACGACGACAACGACGACGCCGACGACGACGACGACGTCAACGACGCCGACGACGACGACGCCGCCGCCGACAACGACTACGACGACACCGACGACGTCTCCAACGACTTCGACGACGCCGACAACGACGACGACGACACCGACGACGACGCCGACGCCGCCGACGACGACGACGATGACAACGACGACGATGACGAGGCCGACGACGACGACAACGACGACACCGTTGACGACGACGACGTCAACGACGCCGACGACGACGACGACGACGACGACGGCGGCGGCGACGACGACGAGGCCGACGTCGACGACGAAGACGACGACGACGCCGACGCCGACGACGACGAAGACGACGGCGCCGCCAACGGAGGCTACGACGAGGGAGGAGGGAGGACGACGACGGCGACAACGACGACGACGACAACGACGAGGAAGGAGGGAGGACGGCGACGACGCGAGCGACGAAGAAGGAGGAAGGACGGCGACGCCGACGACGACAACGACGAGGGAGGAGGGAAGACGACGACGACGACAGCGACGACGACGACGACGGCGACGAAATAGAAGGGACGACGACGAGACGCCGACGACGGACGACGACGACAAGGGAGGGGGAGGAAGGACGACCACGGCGACAACGACGACGGAAACGACCACGACGCCAAAGAGGACGACGACGACGACGTACACAGAAGACGACGACGGCTACGACGACGGCGACGACGCGGGAGGAGGGAGGACGGCGACGACGACGACGACGACGACGACGCAAGAGCGCGCGTGCACGCTTTAGTTGAAAATCCGTGCTGCGAAACGTTGTGCTTTTGTAGGTTTTTTGGGACACACGATTTGATATCCTTTCGAAATCGGTGGGTCTGTAATGATTTCGGCATACGCGCGCGACGACGCGCGCGTCTGCACTTCGCCCCCATTTTTTGCAAAAGGATTCCCGCGACGGCACACTCGCAAGGGCGTTCGACAGATTTCGACATGCGCGCGCGCGAAGCCCGTTTGGTAACATTTTGTGAAAATCTTGATAAACCTATGGTTTTCTCCACTCTGCTGAACTTGAAGTTGTCAACTCCATTGCTCGTGCAATCACCCCACCCACCCACCCGCAATTTGATTTGCAAAACCCATGCTGGAGCGATTGCGATGAGTGCTGGGTGCTGGATATCGTCGACGACGGCGGCGACGACGACGACGCCGACGTCGACGACGACGAAGACGACGACGACGCCGACGCCGACGACGACGAAGACGACGACGACGTCGCCGACGAAGACGACGACGAGGGAGGACGGAGGACGACGACGGCGACAACGACGACAACGACGACAACGACGAGGGAGGATGGAGGACGGCGACGACGCGAACGACGAAAAAGGAGGAAGGACGGCGACGCCGACGACGACAACGACGAGGGGGGGGGGAAGACGACGACGACAGCGACGACGACGACGACGGCGACGAAATAGGAGGGACGACGACGAGACGCAGACGACGGACGACGACGACGAGGAAGGAGGAGGAAGGACGACCACGGCGACAACGACGACGGAAACGACCACGACGCCAAAGAGGACGACGACGACGAACACGAGGAAAGACAGAGGACGACGTAGGCGATGACGACGGCGACGCGGGAGGAGGGAGGACGGCGACGACGACGACGACGCAAGAGCGCGCGTGCACGCTTTTGTTTTAAGTCCGTGTTGCGAAACCTTGTGTTGTGTTTTTTTGGACACACGATTTTGAAATCCTTCCGAAACCGATGGGTTTTGAAGGTTTTCGGCATACGCGCGCGACGACGCGCGCGTCTGCACTTCGTCTTTTTTTTTGCAGAGGATCCTCGCGACGGCGCAAGCGCAAGGGCGTTCGACAGACTTCGACATGCGCGCGCGCGAAGCTCGTTTGAGTGCATGTTGTGAAAATCTTGAAAAACCAATGGTTTGGTTAGATTTCGCAAGAGCTCGCGCGTAAGCTTTTTTAGCAAATCCGTGTTACGAAACCCTGTGCCTTTTGTATGTTTTTTGGGAAACTCGATTGCGAAATCCTTCCGGCACCGAAGGTTTTTGAAGGATTTCGGCATGCCCGCGCGACGACGCGCGCGTGTGCACTTCGTCCCGTTTTTTGCAAGGGATTCGTGAAAAAGTGTCATGTTAGAACAAACAATGTCACCGCATAGTGTTTTTTACAAGGGAACCTCAGGAGGGGGATACTGGCCCCCCGGGGATAGTGTAAAGTCATAGTTTGGATGGACATGTGGTCATAATCGTATGTGATTTACATACCCGAAACGGGTAACGATAATTCCGGCGGGGGTATAATGTATTTTCGTTTTAGAAAGGAGAATTCTGATTTCGCAAAAGCTGGCGCGTAAGTTTTTGTAGCAAATCAGTGTTGCGAAACCCTGTGTTTTTGTATGTTTTTTTGGGAGCTCGATTGCAAAATCCTTCTGGCACCGAGGGTTTTTGAACAAATTCGGCATGCGCGCGCGACGACGCGCGCGTGTGCACTTGGTCCCATTTTCTGCAGGGGATTAGTGAACAAATGTTATGTTAGAACAAAAGATGTCCCCGCGTATCGTTACAAGGGAACCTCAGGGGGGCCGATACTGGTTCCCCAGGACATTGTAAATTCATATTTAGGATGGACATGTGGTCATAATCGTGTGTGATTTACATACCCGAAACGGGGGCGGCGAACACCGGGGGGGGTAGAGTCTATTTTGTTTTGTAGAAAGAAGAATCTATGCGGTACAACAGTGATTGACATGCGGAGGGCAAAAGGTGCGATGAGAGGGGCATGAGGGAACGCGAAGAAGAGGAAAAGAGGAAGGTTGCGGGGCGCTGTTTCCTCAAAGCAAGGACCCCACTCTACATGATGGTTGGGGTTCAGCAGTGCAATGTGGTGGCAGGGTGGTCAGCATGGTGCATGGTGTGTTTTGCGGGCTCCCAGTCACGGTCCAGATTTGGTTTTGACATATCTGATGGGGTGGGGGATTTATCGTTTCTGGATGGCGACCGGACGAGTAAGGGAGGGGGTGTTCATGAATACGAGGCAATGGCCACCCGTCTCCGAAGGGAAGGAAGGGGGTTTGACAAATTGTACCCTGAAGCCACCGACGGCCACAGCGTTGTTCGCCCCTGTCTGAGGCTAACACGGTCGTCCGGCAGCCTTCGGTTGCCTACGCCTGGCCCGAACGCGGGGGCACCCCGCTGCCCACGTCGCGGGTGCCGACGCCCAGCGTGCCGACTCCTGGCAGGTCCGAGGCCGCCGCTCCTGCTTGGGCCCCTGCTGCCAGACCGGCGGCCCCACCGTGGCAGCCCGGCTGCTCAGCGTCGCGCTGTTCCTCGCCCCAGAAGCCCCGGCCCAGCGGTCCCGGGGAGCTCCCCGCCCGCGGGGCCTGGACGCCTCGCCCCTGCCAGGCGGCCGGGCTGCAGCCGGCGCTGTCGCTGCCCCTGGCGGCGGGCCCCGGCGGCTGCCTCGTGGGGTGCGTCGGCGGCGGCCCGGGCGGATGCGATGCGCCGTGGCCGCCCGCGCCGGCGGCGGCCTCCGGCCCCGCCCGCGCTTTCTCCGCGCCGCGGCCCGTGACGTCCCGGCGGGCGACGTCCCCCACCCGGCTCGCCGTCCTCACGGCGGGCGTGGCGGCGCCGCCAGTCCTCGGCGCGGCGGCCTGCCACCCGATGGCGGGGACGCCGGGGGCACCGCTGGGCGCGCCGCTCGCGCCGCCGCTGGCGCTGTGGAGCCCCTCGCCAGGGCAGCTGCTGCAGGGCGAGCTGGGCCCTGTGCCCGCGCCTTTTGCCACGCCGCCGCCGCCCGGGGGGGCGCGGCCGTCGGGGCCAGAGAGCGTGGAGGGCAAGATCCGCGAGTGGCTCGAGACCATCCCGATCGGCGGCGGGGCCGATCGGGGCTGGGACGACGAGCAGATCTCGGAGATCGCCCAGTTCGCCAGGGGCGAGGGCCTCTCCGACCTCCCGGCGGAGGACTTGTACAAGCGGTACGTGGAGCACCAGGTCGGTCGGACAAACAGCTGCTCATTGAATCAGGAAGGTTCCGCCGAGGGGAGCGTTTGCACTGTCCTCCTCCCGCTCCCCGTTCCCTCTTCTGCACCATCGTCCTCAATCTCTTTCGCCTCCTGCCCTCTCCCCCTCTCTGCTTCCATTGTCCCCATCCCGCTCTCGCCATCATCCCCCCCAGTTCGGCTGGAACCGTCACGCTATGAACATTCATGGGCGATAGCCGGCCGCCGCGGGACGTACGGGCGAAGCGGCTCATCTTACCTGTTCCTATGCGTGTGGCGTCCCTGTTGCTTCTGCCTAGGCCTGCCAGATGGGGTCGGAGCAGATGAGCTCGAGGGCTCGCGCCGCATCGCCGATGCATCGGCGATGCGGCTCGATGTGTAGCCCGATTTTCTCCACGCCAGCTTCGCCGATGACACCGCCGACGGCGCCGATGCATCGTCGATATGTATCGTCGATGCATTGGTACTGCGGCGCGATCCTCCGACCCCGTCTGCTCGGACCCCATTTTGGGAGGCCACTGTCCTTTTGCCAGGTGGAGGTCGGCCTCGCCCAGGCCGGCGCGTGACGCGCGGCGGAGCGGAGCGCGCGGCCCGCGCCGGCGCTCTGCCTGGCCCGTGAGGGGGTGCGTCGGTGGCGCGCAAGGGTCGGGAGGGGAGAAAACACACAGACACAATGCATTGTCGATTCCCCAGAAATTGGAAAATATGGGAAGCGGGGGAAAAGCGAAAACCTAGAAAATATGGAATAATTAGCTTGGCGAAGGACTCAGCAGTTGTGAGTATCATCGTTGTGTGCAACGTTGGGTCACGAAGCGTGTGAGGGGTGGGCCAAAAATTGTGCGGTGGGCGCATGCGACAGCAGCCACTGGGGCCGGCGGTGCAATCCCCTATGGGGCCACGAAGCGTGTGAGGGGTGTGCCGAAATAAGTGCGATGGGCGCGTGCGAACGTAGCTACTGGGGCCGTCGTTGGAGTAGCCACCATGCGGACTGCGCCACTGGGACTATGGGGCCACGAAACGTGTGAGGGGTGTGCCGAAGTGGGGCGGCGCCGCCATGCGGACTGCGCCTCTGGGACCTGAGGTGGAGCTCCTTGTGGGGTCACGAAACGTGGGATGGGTGTGCTGAAATGGGCCAGCGCCGCCATGCGGACGGCGCCACTGGGACCTTAGGGAGCTCCCTATGGGGCCGCGAAGCGTGTGAGGGGTGTGCCGAAGTTGGGCGGCGCCGCCATGCGGATGGCGCCTCTGGGACCTTAGGTGGAGCCCTCTATGTCGCCGCGAAACGTGTGAGGGCGTGCCGAAATGGAGCGGCGCCGCCATGCGACAGCAGCCACTGGGACCCTCGTTGGAGCCCCTATCGGGCCACGGAACATGTGAGTGGTGTGCCAAAATAGGGCGGCGCCGCCACGAAACGTGTGAGGGGTGTGCCGAGGTGGGGCGGCGCCGCCATGCGGACTGCGCCACTGGGACCTTAGGTGGAGCTCCCTATGGGGCCACGAAACGTATGAGGAGTGTGCCAAAATAGGCCGCCGCCGCCATGCGGACTGTGCCACTGGGAACTTAGGAGGAGCTCCCTCTGGGGCCACGAAGCTTGTGAGGGGTGTACCGAAATGGGGCGGCGCCGCCATGTGGAGTGCGCCACTGGGACCTTGGGAGGAGCTCCCTATGGGGCCACGAAACGTGCGAGGGGTGTGACGATGACGATGATGATGACGATGACGATGACGATGACGATGATGATGATGATGATGATGATGATGATGATGATGATGATGATGATGATGATGATGATGATGATGATGATGATGATGATGCTGATGATGCTGACGATGACAATGACGATGACGATGATGATGATGATGATGATGATGATGATGGTGGTGGTGATGATGATGATGATGATGATGATGATGATGATGATGATGATGATGCTGAGGATGAGGATGAGGAGGATGAGGATGAGGATGAGGATGAGGATGAGGATGAAGAGGAGGAGGAGGAGGAGGAGGAGGAGGAGGAGGAGGAGGAGGAGGAGGAGGGACGCGGGGCTGCCTCTTCAACACGAGGACCCAACACCGCAAGACGGTTGGGAATATGGGGAACCCTGGGATTTGTGTGTGTGTATCTATTCGTGTGTCCCTGGGCTTTCCTCTCGGAGCAGGCCCAGTTTCCGTCTCTTCCTGCCCCGCGCTGGACTTCTTCTTCCCTCCCCCGTGCGTCGCGGCTTCATTCGCGCTTCGTGCATCCCGCTTACGCCCCATCGCCAGCGCAGTGACTCTGCCCAGCCGCCGACTGAAAAGTGTATCCCTGGGCCCCTTCGAAGATGGGGTGGCGCGGGGGGGGGTCTTCTAGTAAATATCCTCCTCTCCGCCTCATCTTAATACTGCTTATATTACTGCTTGCCTCGCAGCGCACTGTCTGACTATTACTGCGGTGCCATCCCGCAGCTGTTTGTGCTCGGAGGTGAAAAAGGAGCGCGCCGCTGTGCGCCCGCGCGCGGGCGTCGGCCGGCCGGCCTCCTCCCTTACCATACCTGGAGTACATTTGCTTACCGGTTATTTGTCTTATCGATGTCTCTTCCCGTACCCTATACCACTGAGCAGAGCGAACGTGAGATCTTAATTCCTTTGTCATCTTACCCCGGTTCTCAGAGGAAAGACTGGTTAGCAGCCGAAGCCCGCGACGTAGTCGATACGGGTATGAGCTATGATGAGACATATGAAATGTCCGTCACTTCGCGAAACGCTGAATTGCAAGTTGTACAACGCGACGGACAGGCCCGCTTTCCCTCTTCCAATATCGCTACTCGGAACTCTCGGGGAAGAAGTAGTGGAGAGGTTATTGATTGGTCGGAAGATGACTCCCCCTCTCGGCTTCCGATCGGTGATCGCGAACAAACCCCAGACCCGCAGAGACGGAATGGCATAACAGCAAGAACTAGACGAGGAGCATTCTCGTCTTTGATCGCTGAATCCTCGGAAACAATAAGTTCTAGCCCGATTGCTATACAGACAATCGCGCCGGCCGCTGGCCAAGCCAGTGGGTCGGGAGAAGCTCACGAGTCCAGAGGCGTGTGCCCCACCGTCCCAGACGGATGGTGAAGCACGAATGGAACTCACCCCATCCCAATAGCATTGAACGGACAGTTCGGCCAAGATAGTGACGAGCCACTTGATAGAGAGCATGAGATAAACTCCATGGAGGAAGATTTTGAATACGCCAACAAAGGAGTTTCTTTGAGCCGAGAGTTGCCCTCGATAGTGGACGCGGACCACCCCGCCCAAGGCGAGAGGTGGTCCCCAGGGCAAAACGCGATGGACTTTGACCAAATGGATGCCCTGGAAAAAAGCGTTTGCTGAACCAGATTCGGATGTTGATATAAGTGACCTGGCGCCTCAGTCTGTCGAGGTTGAAATCGAACATTAAGTTCAGGCGAAGCACGATGGGGGGCCCACAGGACGGACTCCTGCGCCTCAACTGAAGAATCAGAGGTATGAGGATTACGACTTGAACGATTCACCGCTTCAAGAAGGATTCTATCGTTATGCCGTCGCCTCAGGCGATTGGCAACTCTCGATGCTGGCTGTAGTTCAGGATGAAGAAATGGTTCAACAACCAGCTTCGCTTAACGAGCTGTTAAGACGGGATGAAAGGGATGAGGAGCTTCGGGAGGTGCCAGAACCGCCAGAATGCACGTGCGCGCGTCCTAGATCGAACGCTTCGAGTAGGGGAAGTCCCAAGGTACCAAGGTCAGGAGCTCTGTCTGCTTCAAGAAGCAACAGTACTATATCCGTGCTTGAAACATGCTCGAACAAGGGTCCCGACTGCACGCCGCAGGCGGAGAGCAGATGCCCGGGGAAAGCCCACAAGCCAGATGGAGCCTCTAGGCGTCCAGTGTGTAAGAGTTGTTCGGATGTGTGTCCCAATTGTAGCAATCAATGGTTGTGTGTAGATTGCCTTCCCGTGAGTGAGCATACTTGCACATATCTTCTCGTGCGAGCCATGCAGGGCCAGGCTAGATCTGTTGAGGCCAAGACTCAGCAGGAGTTCCTGCCGCGCGAAGCGCAGCGGGCCGAGAAGGCTCGACTTGATCGAGAAGAGATGGCCGCAACCATCGAGGATGTTCGGAAGACGTTCGAGGCTGAAAGACTCGCCCTGGCCAGGGCTGCCGGAGAGCGGGAACGAGAGTTGGTGGAACAAGTGTGCCATCAAACCGCGGTCGCAATGCGGCAGGCGGAGGAAGAAGCCGAGAATCGATATGCCGAGATGCTGGCTTCCGAACGACAGGCCGTTGTGACGGCGATTAGTCAGTCTGTCGATGCCAAAACCGTTTCCGCCCCTGTTGCGGTGGCCAGAGTAGAACGAGGGGAAATCGCTACAGCCAGGGCAGAACAAGACAAACAGGAGCTTCAAGAGCAACTCAAAAGTGCCAGGCTGGAAGTATCTAATACCCAAATTGCAGCTGCGACGAGAGTCGATCTGATAAATATACAACGAGAAGACCTCAGATTGCATGAAAATGCCAGAGCATCCCTTCAGCATGTGCAACTAACTGACGTCGCGCGCCCATCGGCTGAGCCGAATGGGGAAAGTGGGCGACTTTTGCCGGCGGCTCAGCCGTCCGGCGCGTTGTCCTCACGAGAACAATTGGACTTGATAACCATGGGAGGCGTGATGCCGCCTGCGCTGAAAGTGAGGGCTACTCATCAACGGCAGCCCGCGAAAAGGGCTGACGAAGAACAATGTTCAGTTTGTTCGAACCCGAAAGTCGGGGACTGTGCCACTTGTGGAATGCCGGGCTGCAGCGATCACTTCGACGCGAATACGAACATATGTTCGACATGCACTCAAATTAAAAGTTTGCCAGTTGAACAGGAGAAGTGGGACGAGCAGTGGAGAAGACACAGTGCCGATAATGACTTCTGGGCCCAGCAACAAAAGCTCCTTGGCGAATGCAGTGCGCAGAGGATGAAGGAGCAAGCTGAGGAACATATTAGAATAAGTTCAAAAGGGTCGATCGTTGACGCTCGGGATCGAAATGGGGATCTAGCACCTGCAGTTGTATCAGGAAAAGACGTGCTGCAGCTCCAAGCTATCATCGCTGAGCCCTTCCCACGTGGTGAAACAGAACAGGGCAAATTAAAATAGTCAAGTTCGTTTGATATACCTTTACTCTCACAGGATACGCCCATAAAACCTGTCATGGGACCACATTATGCTGTCCCCGGTCCTGCAATCGAAGGTCCGGCCAAGCCTAGTACCTCCGAGCATGGTATACCGATCAGGATGAAGCTCGCAGGTGAGGGTGAAGGAGAGGATTATGTTAACTATCATCCGTTCTCTAAGGGCGGACCTGTGAGACCGCCAACGGCTCAGCCGTTAGGCAGCGATGGGGATCATGCGCCAGCGGCGCAGCCGCCGGGCGGGGCGGGGCAGGACAAGGATGGTGATGACAGTAGTATCGCGCCGAGCACTGACACCCAATCGGCACTAAATTATGCTCTTCGCGGTCCGCCAGAGAAGCCGCTTCCAGCCAGTCCGGGGGGGGCCTGGGCCCCCAGGTGGAGTAGGCGGTGGTGGCGGCCCTCCGGGCCCAGGGGGGCCACGTGACCCGGGGGGTCTAGATGGGAGTGCCCCTCTGGATCAATGGAGGCAAGTT